CAAACTTGAAGCACTTGCTACCTAGTATCAGCTTCTGATGATCAAAGTGACTGATAATAATCAAGAAAAACTAATCGTTCTAACAAATTCGTTCGTTAATAAATTTAATACGTTTTCATGCATCTATTGGAAAATTATCGCATGAAAAATCGTTAAAATTTAGATCTTTAACGCGTGATCATGATCAAAAAAACAGCGTTAAACATAGCTGGTTCGTTAAGTTTTTAACGATTTATTACGTTAGAAGCATTCGCTAAATGAGGAAAAAAAATTTACATAGGACGAATGCATGTTATCTTACTTGAAATAACAAAGTTTGCGCTGACTTTTGTGCAGATCCATTGTAGTTAGTGATTGGTTGCTGATTTCGTGTTGCATTGGATACAGGATACACTGTTACATTGGACTTCATTATCTTTTTCAAAGAATTTTTATATTCGATTATGTGGTGTGTGTAACGGATGGAAATTATTTTGAGAATTTTTTCTTCTATTGCATACGTTTTATTTCACAATACTTTCCATTTACCTTTCAAACACAAATATTGAATTTTACGGCACCTTTTTTTCTATAGCTTTGTTTTCTTTGTGTCTTATGATCATAGGGTATTTCATACCTGATGAACTTGATTTGTCCTTATATGTAGAGAAATATTCTCTCACCTTCTACTACTCGAAAGGATAAACAAACAAATATTATTTTGATGTTGTGGATTTCTTTGAGAGTAATGAGATTTTTTTTCTGGGATCCTTTCACTTCATCTATCCTGCTGTTGGAGAAAAAAAATTCTTAATTTAACAAAGAAGAAAAAATTATACAGATTGTAGCGAGTCTCAATGTGAAACAACAACAACACTTTTACACAATCTATGACTGTTGTAGAACTACGACTACTGCAAATTTATATTTTTGTTCTCTTTCTTTTTCTTGAAACTATGTGCTTTCATTGCATTTCTTCCTTTCAACGTTGCCTCAACATAAATTTTTCAACTCTGTTCTCTCACATAATCGGTAGTCAGGAAAATAAATCAGTCAAAAGAAGAGAATTTAAGGCAACATCGACTATAGTATTAGCAAAGAAAAAAGTAAAACAGCTACCATAGTTGTAGGAAGTAGGAAGACGCTCATAATAGTCATTCTTCTAGTAGAAGCTAAAAGTTAGAAAAATGTCAATGTCATCAATTCTTTAAACTGAAGAAGTTAATGAAGAGCTTCGAGTAGTACTATCCTAATATGTTATTTTTTGCATAAAATTTTACGAGCATGGGTGTGGGTGGCTAGATGTGCGTGCGGGTGTCGGTGTCTAGGTGTGGGTGTGAGTATGTGTGGGTAGGTATGGGTGTCGGTATGGTTTGGTATCAGTCAACGTCTTATCAACATCCGCACAATGGCATTTGATAACTCTTGGGAAACTAATCTAATAAAGGAAATTGAACGACAGTGCGCTAGTTACAAGAACTTTCCCAGAGATTAATGATCAGATATGGTAAAATCGTCTGAGTCTGGGTATTTCATTGGACATGACAAAATAAATAGCGAGTGAAAACTTCTCCATTGGAAAGTTTTTCTCCGGAAAAATATGAGTCATGTGAAAGATATAATATTCTTAGCATTATAAGGTGTTTCTGAGAAAGTAAAAATTAAAAGTCACAGGAAGGATGTGACCTGGGAGATGCTGTTGCAAGATTTTTTTCAAAAGTGCACAAAAGTATCATTGCTGAAAGGTGTGGGAAACAAAAATAAAAAAAGGAAATTGAATAATGTCACGATCGTTACAAGATCCTCCCGCAATATTAAACGATGCGGGTGTGGATGTGATGTGACTACACTGTAATTTTTTTTGATTTTTTACTTTTTGAAAAACCGACTTTTAAAAAGCTACAACATTCTCAAACTTTCATAATTCATTAATCGAATTATGAAAACTTAGAAAATGCTTGATTTTCTAAACTATAGAAATTAAATCTGACTTTCTAAAACAATGACTTTCTAAAACAATGGTTTTCAAAGAAATTAGAAAATCAATATAGATTCTAGAAAAAGGCAAAAATGAAAGCAACTTTCTGGAAAATCATTTCAACAATGACCACCATAGAGTCATTGTTTCCTTCATATATATAAGCTAGCCGAGAATGCTGTGCATTCTTTATTTTTTTCAGTGCCTGTAATAAGTGGATAAATTATATTTTTGTATGAGTGGATACATAATATTTATTTATTTTATTCAGTACATTTATCTGAATTTAATGTCTATGAATTTATTAAAAATATAAAAAAATAATTATTTATTTTATTTGACGCATTAATGAAATTCGATGTTTATGAATTTATTACAGTTGAAATTAAAATTAATTATTTATTTTGTTTGGTGAACTAATATGATTTTAATGTTTATAAATCTATTAAATTAGAATTATGTTAAATTATTTATTTTATGCCATGCATTTACGTAAATTTAATGTTTATGAATTTTTCAAAATTAAAATTGAATTAAATTATTTATTTTATTTGATATATTAATGAAATTCAATGTTTATGAATTTATTTAAATTAAAACTATTTGTAGATGTATTTATTTTATTCAGTGCATTTACGTGAATTCAATGTCCATGATTTTATTTAAATTAAAATTATTTATTTATTTATGTTACTGTGCACATGTATGTAAATTTAATGTTTATGAACTTATTTCGATTAAAATTAAATTTAGAATTAATTATTTATTTTATTTCGCGCATTAATGAAATTCAATATTTATGAATTAAAATTAAATTATTTATTTTATATCACAAATAAAAGGAAATTACCCATGTCGTATGGAACGGCTCGTTAACTGCCTTAAACGACTTGAAAACGCTGAAAAACGGCTGTCGTTACGATGGTCGTTTATGATCTGCCGTAAAACGGAGAAATACGACGATAAACGATGACCTTTACGGTGGTCATTTACGTACTAGCGGTAACGATTGCCATTACGACCATCGTTTTCACACCGTTTTTCATCGTTTCAACAAGTGTCCTAAAATTATCGTTAGTCATTTTCGAATAATCGATAATCGATCGGTCATTGTCTATTGGAAAAAAGGCTTATTTTTTTTATTTAGATTCCTTTCACCATCTAGTTCAATAGTAAGTATTGTATTTGAATAAATATATTTATTGTTTTTTATTTAGATTTATCTATATGAGATATGAAAGAGTAACTATTTTATTTAATTCATTTATTTATTTTTATGTAGATTTACCTCATAGATATATTTAATAGTAAGTATTGCGCTTATATATATTTATTTTTTTTAGATTTTTCTCATTGCAATATTCAACGATGAGTATTCTATTTAAGTAAATATTTTTTTTGTTTAGATTTGCCTCAATTAAGTATTTAACAGTCAGTATTTTATCTAAGTAAATTTATTATTTTTATTTAGCTTTATCTCAATGAAATATTCGATAGTAAGTAATTCATTTAAATAAATAAATATATTTTTTAATTTAAACTTATTTTAATGAGATATGAAACAGTAAGTATTTTATTCAAATAAATAAATTTATTTATTTTTTTATTCAGATTTATCTCATGGATATATTCAATAGTATTTTCCTTAGATATATTTATTTTTTTTAAAGATTTTTTTCATTAAAATATTCAGCAGTAAGTATTCTGCTTAAGTAAATATATTTGTTTGTTTTGTTTAGGCTTGTCTCAATTCAGTATTTAACAGTAAGTGTTTTATTTAAATAAATAAATTCATCTTTTTTTATTTAGATTGATCTCATTAATATATTCAATAGTACGTATTTTTCTTAAATAAGTATTTTTTTTCATTTAGATTTCTTTCATTGAAATATTTAACAGTAAGTATTTTATTTAGATTTATCTCAGTGAAATACACATTAGGAAGTATTTTATCTAAACAAATAAATATTGTTTCTTGTGTTTACGGAAGGTGAAGAGAGAACGAAACATCGCGCTCCTCTTCACGGACAGCAGACGGCAAAAGATAAATAAAGTTGTAAACGAGAAAAACTAGTGTAAGTAAGACACTGCACGGCAAGAATACTGCCACAATAGTATTCATCGTTACTTGCCGGAAACGGCCTTAAGGCCCCCCCCCCACCCTAATTTCTATTTTTGCTTCTGATCATCCGATCTTGCTGAATTTTCCAGAGAAGGTGTATCTAGGGGTTGGTAACTTACGAAAAAAATTTCAGTTCGAAATATTGAGTCTATCAAAATTTACCTCACGATTATGGGTCAAAATGGGGGTGTCGGCGTTTCCCAAATTTCTCAGTCATTTCAAATGCTAGAAGGTTCAGGTTACTTTCAAAATATATCAAAAACATAGCTCTACAACTTAACAGAGCCCGATTTTTTTTTTCATTTGCAATTTTTTTCATTGAAGCTTATCTCATACGATATGGAAAAAATAGGGTATACATTGTAAAAGATTTGAGTCTCATGAGATATTAAACACAAAATCTAAGATTCTGGCCCTGTTAAGTTCTAGAGCCGATCATTTGCGTCATTTTGACACCAAGCCAAACTTTCTAGCGTTTAAAATGGCGGAGAAATTTGGGAAATACAAAAGTGTTAAAACAAAAAACCCTATTTTGAGAAAAACGCAAAAGAAGTTTTACATGTGAATTTCAAGACTTTTTCTACAATAGCATGATGTGAAATAAACTTTTTAGTGATTTTCCATCGATCATTGATTAGAACGAATTGAGTGGACGTATACAGAGGCGTATGAAAATTTTTTTTTTGCTCCATGTAGTTATGTGATGTCCACTGTCAAATCAATAAAAACTGCTTGGTATGATAGGAACCAAATCATCTGAATTTATATGGATGATTTTATATCATGTAATAATAGTAGTTGAAAATTATCTAAAACAGATGAAAACATGTGAATTCCTGTCAAAGAGAAAAATATTCTAGCAAAGTTTATTAACTAGTTTGTCAAAAATCTTACATAAATGATAATAAGTTAGAAAAAAAATTAATCATCCCCTCCCGGTTCATAGTCCACATCTGCATCCTCTTCCGATAGTTCCAATGCGATTAAATCTTGAGTAAGATCAGTAGAATTTTTATCATTTGGAATAAATGACATTTCATCATCACTTTCGCTTGAAGAGGTATTAGTAGCAGCAGTAGTTGTTGTTATTGTTGTTGTTGTTGTTCTTTTTTTACGTCTTTTTTTAATTTTTGAAGTAAAGGATTTTCTCATTGTATGGAGTCGACCGAAACATTCAGCAGAATAATATCCTATGGATGAAAAGAAGCTTGTAAATAATTTGTCTAATGAGTCATAGCCATCGTTATAAATTATTGTTGATAAACCTAATGCCGTACGGAGAATAGTTGATGAACAGAAGCGGTGCTTAGGAACCATAGTCCACAATAATGAGTGAAAAGCCTCATTGGCATTTTGTGATCCACCATCTATCACACGTGCTAAACTAGTTTTAGAACACAACTCGTGAAATACGGGCTTTATCAAGTCCAAGCATGCTCTTGGAATAGCTGGTTTTGAGTTATGATTAAACTGTTGACCATTTAATTTTGCTTGAAGATACTTACACCATTGAGGATCACACCAATCATGCATCGGTTCTTTGTCTGTGGAGTAATGATGCTTGAAAATAGCCCATGATTTTTCATAAAGTTTATCTAAATCAGTTTTAGATTCACGTATTGCTTTAGCAAAATAAATTTTAAATGTGATTGCATCAGCATCAGTCAGACGTCCTTTACCAGCAATTTTTTTACCATCAGACAAAACTTCATTCTTATTTTCTTGCTTGATCTTTTTGATACGAGTCAACATTCTTTTTGCAAAATGATTTGTATCTTCGAGTTTTTTAATTGTGACACCAGGATATGGAGGATTAGTTGTTAAATATTTATGTACTTTAGCATCACCATCTCCAATATAAGATATATATTTAATATCATATTTTGGTAAGGATCGACAAAACATTTCATAAATCATCTCTTTTTCCATTGCACCGGATGTTCCTAAATTAGAAATACTTTTATGATAAAATGATATACAATTCATTAGCAGATACCTATAAAATTCAATTGACATTCATGATTCTCCTGAAATGTACTAAATAAATCAAAATTAACATGACGCAGACTTTCTGCACCTTGACATTTAGAACACTTTTTGGAACACCAATTAGTATCTATAACTTTTGGACTCACTGTTGTTGAACATATAGCTGCGATTCCATGAAGACTAGTGAACCCTCGAGTTAGCCATGCACCATCACCACTTACGGTTAACTCTTCTACACCACCAGCTTCAGAGATAGCATCTTGAACAGCATCAATCATTGACTGTTCTTGAGCTTTTTCTACATAATTTAAAATAAATTCTTGTACTTCACGATACTTGTGCTCCTGAATTGGTGGTGGTAAATTTAAAGCACCTAGTAATTTCATTACTCCACTACGGCCTAATCCACATAAAGTACCTCCAATACCTGATCGAACATTGATCTCATGACGTCTACCAGTTTGCATTTTCGGTGACGAATATATACGAGTGAGAAATCCACAATTATAGCACATGAATTCAAGCTGCATGTATAATCCATTTCGTTCTTTGACAGTTGTTGATCCGTCCCAATATTTATTGCAACCAGGACATAAAAATTGTTTTAGCAATGAAATTAAAGAATTCATATGAATAATTAAATTAAAATCCAAATTATCTTTAACATTCTGTTTACTCGTTGTTGATTCATTTTGCATCGACATAAATGATTCTTCGTTCGTGCTTGATGATGATACATAATCTCGCTTCCTCTTCAGATTGTCTGAACGAATTCGTTTGGGATCGCTCAAGTATAACACAATCAACTTTCCGGCTATATTTTACCCTCGCCCCTCCCCCCTAAGATTGATAACCTAATACTTGAGCAGTCCCTTTTATAATTGATTTTGTACTTTTCTTTTTGTACGAATTATTTCTTTTACCCATTGAAACTTTTATTTTTGCGATGATAATATATAAGTTGTTGTATAACGAAAAATAGTTATCACCTACTGCTGAAAATATAATTAACAACTGATTTTAATCTACAAATATAGTAAAACAGTTCCAAATAAGAATTTTTATTTATAATTTTGTTGTCTTTAACAATATACACATTTTTACATTCATGAAAAAGTACTGAAAAGTCGTTGGTACTTATTCTTCCAATAAAAATTGGCTGACACATGAACTGTGAGAATCTTCATTCTCTTCTATCGTTTCTACATATTCGCCACTCGCACTATGCATCAAGCTATTATACTTAGCGACACATGTTAACCATAGAAATCACTGTAAAAAATCAACAGGGAAGCTCAAAAGACTTCGAAGATCAAAAAATCTTTAAAAAGATGTTATTTTCTAGAATAGGGGGTTTCAGAAAAACTGATGTAACATCCTGAAAACTCATCATAAAATACATAAACTATAGTGCGTTCGATAGCGGACACTTTGCTCTATCAAACACGGTATAAATCAAAAAATCGAAAAATTTGACGAAAATTGACTTTTTTGGGGGTGGTGGGGGGGGGGGGGAGCCTTAAACGGCGTCGTTTACGTTCCGAGAAAAACGGCCCTCAATTCGAGCTGACGGAAAACGGTCAAAAAAAGGTGAAAAACGGCGGTCGTTTTTCATCGTTTAGGGCAGTAATCACGCTGTTTTTTCATCGTTTTAGGCAGTTTAAGACATCGTTTCAGACGGTCGGAATGATCGACTTGGGTAATTATGAAATAAAAATGAAAAGAAAAAAAATGAATTAAAAATTCTAGAAAATGCTCGAATTCCTAAATAAAATGCGAATTTTTAGAAAAGCCCATATGAATTCACTTTCGATTTTCTAACTAGAAAATCGAATTTGGTATTTCAGTTTTGTTGAATATCGAATTTTCAAGGAAGTAAAAATTCGTCGATGAATTCATATGGACTTTTCTAGAATATCTTCTGCTATACTCTATAATTTATTTTCTAATTTACAGTGCACACCCACACCCACACCCACCCTACTTTCCAACATAGTTGTATGCTATTTTGAAATAGTGCATTATTTTTTTTCCTATTTGTAGATGTTATTGCGTTGTTTGTTCGAAAAGAACTGTAATACATGACTAATGTCTTAAGCATCACGTGTAAGTATTACATATGAATTTTGCAATCTATCGTTGTGTAAGAAGAGAAGAATGGCAAGCTACCTGATCAATATAAAAACCCTCTCCTATCAAACATACATGAAAGAGAAGAAATTGAAGGTATGGGTGTGAGTGACTGTTAAAGAGAAAAAGTTGCATTCGCATAACATCCTGTAAGTAATTACATTTCTAGAAGCATCTTTGAAATTTGTAAATTGACGACAATCTGTAATACTTTTAATAAAGAAGAAGTTTGTTTTGTTTTGCATGAATACTCGACTTTGCCCTATCTAATCAATATTAATTTAAAACGTTTATTTTTTGTGTATTCAAGATAATGTCTTTTGCTTCTTCATATGAAAGATTCAAAGATCTTCTTGAGAAGTATTCAGAATACTTCAATTATCGTGAAAAATCTGGTCAACGAACCACCCAGGATCAAGATATGGAGGCTGTAGCAAATTATAAAGAGATGTTGGATATTGGCATTAAAGGAGTGAGAAATCAGTGTGATCTGGACCATGAATCATTTAAGAAATATTTCGACAGAAATTGGAACCAGCTTCAATTAGAAGCGATTGGTTTGATGCATGATGAATTATTTCCTCGAGAGGAAGTAGCGAATCTATACATGACACTAGAGGAAATTGGAAAGGTACGGGAGTGTCATTGATACTATTTTTTTTAAAGTAATCTGTGCAAATACTAAAAAAGTTTTAGCAAGCGTACTCTTATCTAAAACAAGAAGTTCTAGCTCAAATCTGTCTTTTACAATATTTAGGGACCAAAATCCGGATCATGTTACAATGATAAACAGTTTGTTGACGAATGGGATTACTGCATCATTCACTCGCAGCGTATACGAATTCCTGAAGACAAGATAACCATTACAGACAAACAGAACCATGATGCGATGGTAAGCCTGAAAAAATTATTAATTCATGTGTTCGAAAAAGTTGAAACAAACGTCGAGACAAGCAGTGCTGAAGAGGAAACATTGCGTAGTGATTTCGAACGTTGGCTTATTTATAATTACAAATGGGCGAAGCAACAATTTGAATACATTATACGCAAAAAAGTTGCCAATACCGAAGATTATAATTTATTGCTGAACTACTTTATAAAGATGAAACAAAAAGTTGAGGTAAGGATATTTCAAATAGGTCTCGAAGTATGTTTTAGTGCCAATAAAGCCTTATATGCAATCTAAGACAACTTTATTATACGATGAGATCAATTGAACGAACTAGGTGTATTTGCAAATATCATTTTTTCTAATACTGGAATTTGAGAGCAGAAGAAAACGGCGCTTACAGGATCATATGGATTCATATAGAATAAGTCAGCCAAAGATAACTCAGAATTAGGGGAAATGAACACAAAGATTATCGAAAATCTAGACCAAGTATCTATATATTCATCGGTTTCTTCTTTTTATTCTACAGGAATGGATCCCATTATCGTATCGTATTTTTGGGCTTCCTTGTGGAATAGATGGTGGTCCACTTGGAAATGAAAAAATAGATTTAACAATGATGACCGAAGATGTTGATTTGATCACACGGTTTTTCGAAGAACGTGAAAACAAACACGAAGCTACCCCTGGATTAAGAAGAAAGAATCTCAACAATGAAAGCCTTCAATCAAATAATCCAAAGTTTCCAGCATCAGCTCTATTTAATAATATGGACGAAGTACGTGAATTGTTAGCATCACGCTATTTTCCATATACAAATGACTCTCGTTTTCACGACTATCGTTGCAGTAGTCTTTTAACTGATCGGGCAGGAGTATTTACAGGAAATGGTACTGTTTTTGTTTATATTACCGGACATGGATTATCATCAGAGTTAGCCAATAAATTAGCTCAGGAACTTACATCATTAGAGGGAATATACCCACAGTACAGAGGATATTTAGTTGCGCAACGAGATCATGGTCGTCTTCGTCTTGATGAACTACTAGAAGCTGGTCAAATTGTTGCATTTACGAAATTTATTGGTATCGAAGATTTTCTTATTGAATTACTTGAAACATGTCGCACGAATCAGGAGAAAGATAGTGAAAGTCCATATTTCAAGCCTGAACCAGAAAAATTTCGGCAGCGGCATTTAATTATTGTTGTTGACGCATGTTTCTCTGGAAATTGGATTAAAGATAATATTGCGGATCAATTCGAAACAGCCTATATCAAAAATACAAATATATCAATTACGATTCAAACGTCTACAGAAAAACAGCTTCCTTCCTATGGATATTTCTTTACACCGTTATTTGTCAAACTACAAACCCTTAATGAAAAAGACTTGAACGAGATCGTCGAAGAATTCAATAATTTGAGCAAACCATCCAAAGATGAATATCAAAGGTCACTACTAAATCAACTTGGAATGGAAGAATTGCCCGTTCCACAATTTTGTCACTATAACATTGATGAAGTTCACAGAAATTTACACATAGATGATACTAACAAAATGAATACTCATGTTACTGTACAAGGTTTACGTTTTTTTGTTGACCCAAATTTTTTCGCCTTTTTCACACATAAGCTTATGAGTTCTACATTAGGACCCGATATCGATAGTCTTAAATCGAGACCTTTATTAGATCGTGACGGAGGTCAGCAATTTTTAGAAATGCTAATTAAGGCAAACGACATTCAGATTCGAGGCATCAAATTAAAACGCTTTCGTAATGGTACACCGTTATGCATTGCGGCAGTGCGCTCGCCGACTAATACTTTTGAGGGCAAGCATGTTTTAACAGATTACGATGAGTACTGGTATCATCTTCATGTTCATTTCGATGGTACTAGCAACGATAAAGTATCGTTTCCAGGTAATATCACCCATATAAAATTAGTATATGCCGCCCAGAGCAAGCTACAGTACTACGAATCGGGTAAATATGAGGGAGAGATCTTTGATGATGCATCAAGAGATAATCAAAATGATTACCAGACGATGGAAAACGAGCGAGTAATTAAAGATTCTAACAAAAGAGACACTGAATTTTTTGTTGGCAATTGGGGTCGATATTGTGACAAAGTAAAAACCTGCTTGAGACATTGGTCACAAACGCAACCGCGGAGGGCCTTTTTATCGAAAGGTAAAAAACGAGACGAGTACTTCTTAACTGATATTTGGAGTAGTAAAAAACTATGGCATGAGTTAGAACCAGTCCAGTTTGGACCAGTTTTAGTGAGAGATAGGTCTTTGATTACAGAACAAATCGACAGCTCTAAAGTGGTAGCTAGGGTGACTGAGGAACTTTCAGAACATAGATATCTGGAATACAAACCAGAAAGAGGCAGAAACAACGAAGAAAGAGAAATTATAACAAGATCGGTAGACACCTTCTGAAAATGAATGGTAAAAGAGAATCTTATATTGTTGTTAGAATGCTGCTATAAATTTTCCATTTAATAAAAATTAAAGCTGTTTTTTATCCACAGAAAATATTATTAATTCAAATAAACTATACTTATAATTCACATTATGCATCTCATTTGAGAGCCACTATCTCCCAGATTAAACAATATGAAATACAAGGGCGTGGGTGTGGGGGTGGGGATGTCGGCGTGGGTGTGCGGGTGGGGTATGGGTGTGGGTGTGTGAGGTGTGGATGTGCGTGTGGGTGTGGGAGTGGGGGGGTGGGTGGGTGTGGGTGTGCG